CTTTTTTTTTTTTTTTTTTTGTAATGAGAACTGAACCCAGGCCCTTGTGCTTGCTAGGCAGGCACTCTGCCACTGAGCTACATCCTCACCCCTATACTATATGCTCACAAGGAACTTCCAGAATCTTACTCTAGCTTAGAAACTGCAGCATTCAGAACTTCGGAGGAGGGCCAAGGTTGTTAGAGGTCAAGATGTCCTACCCCTCAGATCACAGAGTACACAACTTCCTCTTTCTCTTTCAAAGAGAATTGAACCTATTTCCAACCGTTTGGTGGGTGTTCCTTTGGCTTTGTGATCGGATTCAACAGTGCCACGGCTCCTCAGAAGGGAACAATCCCATGACGTATGAGGCCCAGAATAAGCCTGAGCTGAAACACGTTAGGAGCAGGCTGGATTTGTCACAGGAACGAGAGGGGCTGATCTGAGCAGGCTCTGTACCTCCCTTCCCCAGCCCTGCCCAGAGGGTCTTCGTGCCTAGTGAACCAACTAATTTGCAGATATCTTTGCCCATGTCTTCCCTATCTCTGAGATACCTAGTGACACATGGAGATCCTTGTGGGTCACTAACCAGCCTGGTGCACTCTTGAGTTCTGCATCCAGCTGGACAGTTGGATCACGTTCGAGAATGTTTACAGGACCTTCACAATACAGGTACTAACATTATGGAGCGTCTTCTATGTGCCAGGCTCTTCTAGGCTTTTCGATAATTCACGTTTTCTTTAATCCCCATGAACATTGATTCAGTTTTTTTTTTTTCAGGTAAATTAGAAACTGAGAGTTTAAGTGATTTACCCAAGGTTACACAACTAGAGGGTGATGCCGGAAGGTCTGCGCCCCGTTACTCCCTAGAAACCATAAGACCCACCAGTGACAGTGCTGTTTCTTTTTCTTTTGTTCTTGTTATAATGTGACATCAGTGGAACACAAGAGCCTGCTGTTTGGGCAGCTGAGAACCCGGTGGTAGACACTGCTGCAGCCAAGAGCACTTACGGGCTAAAAAAGGAAATAACTTTCTATATGTGAATTCTGGCCAAATGGTCACAGATGCTGAAGAGTCTGGGAATCCTGACCACTGTGGGCTAAGACCCCCCAAAGTCATGATTAATTCTAAGAACAGCACATGTAGCAGCCAGCCAGTGACGAAACAGAAGCTAAAAGGAGAAACACAGGGCCTCTCTCGGGAAGAGGTAAAGTGAGAAAAGCCCTCCTCACTAGTTGAGACTGGAGTTCTGGTCACAGATTTATCTTAATCCATCAGTCCTAGGATCTTTCTTTCCTTTCTCTCCCCCCCTCCTCTCTCCCCTTTCTCCCTGCTCCCTCTCTCTTTTCCCTTGTCAGAGATACAGAAAGAACATGAGCTCTGGGGTTAGACCAACCAGGTTCAAGCCTGTTATGCAGCATCTGCCTCTTGTGAGACTCTGTACAAGTTGCCTAACCTCTGGGCTTCAGTTTTCTCTTCTGTGAAATGGGACGATGCTGCTCTCCTCACAGAGCTAATGGGAGGGTTGGAAAGTAGAGCTGTCAAACGCTTTGCACATGGAAAATATTCAAGTGCTATCTGCTTTTACTATTCCTGAACTTCCCTGGGCCTGTCTCATCTCATGTAAAAATGAGGGCTGAGCTGGATTGATCCCTAGGTTCCTTCAGCTCTAC